AATACTTCAGTGGCTGGATGGGGTCAGTCTAACTACTCCTAGCTTGAGATCTCAACTGTTGAATTTGGTACTTGGATCCAGGGTTATACATATCTGATCAATCGCCTAGATGGAAACTACCTGTCATCTTGATGGATGGTGTAGTTAAAAATGTACAAAAACTGTAATTAAGGCCGGCCGGTTTTTTATTATTATGTCTGTACTATTGATGTATGATTATGTTCTTCTGTGGGTCATGATCAGTATTGCTTTGTTAGTTTTATCTGCCCAGGTTCTGGGAGTTTTTTTGTGATTATTCATTGGAGTTGCAAAATTTTAGGTATGTGAAAATTTTGTAACATGTGTGTTACCTGTATTGTTGACCATTACCCCAGTACTGCAAGATATTGTGTTTGAAATTGTGTATTTACTGTGAATGTTTTGTTGACTATACCGCATAATATTGAATCTTTGGGAGGGGAAAGCTTTGTAGCGACCACGGTCGTACACGTCAGTTAACGCCAAAATCAAATGATTCATATTACGCTCAATAGCCCACAAAACATGTACCTCTGCTTTTATTTTGAGTCCTCCATCTGAGGAGTTCGTTTTCTCGTCACTTCAAGACGCCTCAGTCCTCCGTTATCCCATTTTCTCTGACTTACTGAAACCAACCTCTCTATATAATGTATTTGAATGTGAGAGAGAACACCTTTGTTTTGAGTCAACTTAGATATGTCTGTTTACAGTTGGAACATTCAAGATCCATTGTGAGTGGTGTTGAACGCTTCAACTGTCCTTATTGTTAGTAAGACGTGTCAAGTAGGCGAGTGTTGAGTTTGCCAGTTAGAGTGGCGTATTTTAGGTCGTCCGTGGGGATATCCATGGGTTTCTGATCGCTACTGAAGTTATATTGTTTTGTTGCCCCGACATCAGAGAATCTGATGTTCATAGTTTAGTTAGTGTCAGTTGTCTATTTAAGAAAGTCATTCATCTTCTGAACAGTTCCTGTCAAACTCAAAATTCTCCCAGATTTAACGGCCGTTTGACCGGGGATGTGGTTTGCGGTCAGGCCAATAGAGTTGCGAACGCATATATAACTTCAATTCACCTCTTTACTGACAAACTCAACCTCTGATTAAATCATAAATATAGATGTAGAAAATTAGCCTGATCTGTGACACTGACGGTCACAGCTAGGTGTCCAACGACTACGGTGAAGAGAGGGTATATTGTTAGTGAAATTTATCTTTCTAGTAGGAATATGCCCTCAGGCCCGTATATATGCAGGCGCGCGAGGGGAAATCACTCCTTCTGTGATTTCTTCTCCACGTCTCCAGGTATGTTCACGTGTGTTCCACGCCGCCATATTAACTCAGTTTAACTTAGTCATTTTTTGTGAATATCAGTGTTCATGTTTTAACATAGTACCTTCAGTGCCAAGTGAGTCAAGTAAAGTAGAGGTCTAGCTATCGTCTGAACCGGTGCCAGACGTATGTTTTGTATAGTGAAGTTAAATATTCACTCCTGTGATTTCTTCTCCACGTCTCCAGACGCGGATGTGTTAGCAACTCTCCTGAGGGTCGATAGCTACCTATGGGCAAGATGGTTCTTGAAGAATGTCTCTAAGGGCGCATTTAGAATCCCATGACACGATCCCCCGGGAAGCGCCCTCATCACTCTGCCAGTGTGTAACGAGTCAACTTCCCTGAGTGCACCTAGTGAGCGAGCCTTCAGCTTGGCGGTCGTTGTAAACAACTGTGCCCGCTGACTCCACCTGGAGATTGTACTTCATCTATTGCATGGAGCTGTGTCCGCCCATGTTTGGAGGGATAACTAGCAGAAATATAGTATCCCGGGTTAAGTATTGAACCCCTGAATGAGAGTTCAAGGTACCAGGTGGTTCCTTGTGAAGTGATAAGAATTATGGTATGTTACTAATTGTGGAATTGCCCAGTGTGTTATGTATTCATCTGTAGTACCCATGAAATAATAACCTGAGAGTATGAGGTTCTAACCACGAATTGAGAAGGTAATTTGGTCCTTGTTAAAGTAAGACCTGCGGGTCCAGGGTTATTGACAGTGTGTAAGCATTTCTAAATCTTACTTGTCAAAGAAATACTACACCAGTGTCCAATAAAGTAATGAGTATTTGGAGGTGTTTAATGAGGTAATAGTTCTTGAAGTGTTTGATGACTTAGTAAGTTAATTTCGGTTCTGTTTAGCGTGAGTGAATCTAAGATGCATCTTCTCCACTCACTGTGTTAATAAATATTGCTCCTTGGGGAGCCACTGCTTCTGGAAGATCCTTGCCCCTGGGGGCATCGCTTCCCCTAGGAAGAGCCCCTTGGGGCAACGTTCCCCCTTGGCGGGCCCCTGGGGGCGACGTTACCCCTTGGCAGGCCCCTGGGGAAGCCTACACATCTGAGTGGTCCCCTGGGGGCACCTGTGGCCCTGGGAGAGCCCCTGTGGGCGCCACCGCTCTTGGCAGGGCCCCTGTGCCGCCACCCTTGGCAGGGCCCCTGGGGGCACCGACACCCCTCGGAGAGCCCCTAAGGGCGACGCACCTGGTATGGCAAATGGGAGGCCCCAGAGCGCACTATCACTGAATTGACCGTGGGGGCAGTTGTTTTTGCACATTTAGAACAATGGGAGATATGAATAATAACACCGCCCAACGCATTTCCAGTATCATCGCACCATCAACAATGCAAAGGAGAATAAATATCCAACAGCAAAACATAAGTTGGGGTGTTGTGCTGACTGACTGCCCTGTTCTCCTATTGGCTGTTACTTGGATTTACATTTTAGTCCACCAATCACAGTTAAGTAAGGGATTGCTGGACGTATGCAATATGTACGACACTACGACCAAAAGCTATAGGTCTCCAGGCAGCGGACGCTCTCTGGTAGGGCCTCTAGGAAGGCCCATAAAGGTACCACTGCCCCTTGGGGAGCCACCACCACTGGAAGATCCCTGGGAGCACTGTTTAATGAAGCGAGTCCTTGGAGCTGTTGCCCCTAAGGAATGGCCCTGGGCGCTTTTTTCCTTGGCGAGCCCCTGGTCGCTACCAACTCCTGTAGGTCCCCTGGGAGCCCTGCTTCCCAGAAGGCCCCTGGGGACTCCCCTGCCCTTGGAAGAGCCACCTTGGGCGCCGTTCATGGAAGGCCCCAGTAGAGCGTCGCTGCCCCTGGCCGGCCCTGGGGGCGCCACCACGCCTGGAAGGGCCCCGGTGGCGCCATCACCCCTATCAGGGCCCCTGGGGGCGCACCTGCCCTGGTAGGGCTCCTGGGGCCAACACCCCAGAGATGTCCTGTTGGAGGCTGCTGCCCCAGGAGGGCTTCTGGCACCACTGCCTCTGTAAGGGCCTCGTAGGCTCCACAGCCCATGTCATTTCCTGAGGCCTCCGCCGTTCGTGAGATTGCCACCTGGAAGCGCCGTTACCTCTCAGGAGGTCGCCTGGGAGCGCCGCTGCCCACTTGGAGAGCCTCTGGGGGCGCCACTTCCCCTGGCAGGACCCCTGAGGGAGTGACCGCCTCTGGCAGAGCCCCTGGTAGCGCCATAACCCCTGCCAAGGGCCGTACGGACGCCCCCTCCCTTGGTAGGGCTCCTCGGGGCGCCAACACCCTGGGGAACCTCTAGGGGCGTTGCACCTGGTAGGACAAATGCAAGGGCCCCAGGAGACACTGTCACTGTAGGGACCCTGGGGACAGTTATTTTTGCACATTTAGAACAAAGGGAGATATGAATAAATACTTTGCCCATCGCATTTCTAGTATCATCACACCATGAACAATACAAATATCCAAGAGGAAAACATAAGTTGGGGTGTTGTGCTCACTGACTGCCCTGTTCTCCTATTGGCTGTTATTTGGATTTACATTTTAGTCCACCAATCACAGTTAAGAAAGGGATTGCTGGACATGTGCACAGGGTACGACACCACGAGCCAAAGCTATAGGTCTCTTGGCAGGGGGCACCTCTTGTAGGACCCCTGGGAAGGCGCCTGAGGGTACCGCCGCCCCTTGGGGAGCCACTGCTTCTGGAAGATCCCTTGGGGGCACCGCTGACCCTGAGGAGGGCACCTGGGGGCATTGGTTCCCCTAGGAAGAGCCCTTGGGGCAACATTACCCTTCTGGCCCCTGGGGCGACGTTACCCTGAGCGCCCCTAGTGAGTCACACCTGAGTGGTCCCCTAGCACCTGTCCATGAAGAGCCCCCTGTGGGCGCCACCACGCAACTGGTAAAAGCTCTGGGTGCGCCACACGCTTGGCAGGGCCCCTGGGTGCGCCACCTTGGCAGGGCCCTGGGGGCACCGACCTCGGAGAGCCCCTACAGACGCACCTGGTATGGCAAATGGAGGGCCCCAGAGCGCACTATCACTGAATTGACCGGGGGGCAGTGTTTGCACATTTAGAACAATGGGAGATATGAATAATAAACCGCCCAACGCATTTCCAGTATCATCGCACCATCAACAATGCAAAGGAGAATAAATATCCAACAGCAAAACATAAGTTGGGGTGTTGTGCTGACTGACTGCCCTGTTCTCCTATTGGCTGTTACTTGATTTACATTTTAGTCCACCAATCACAGTTAAGTAAGGGATTGCTGGATCGATGCAATATGTACCATAATTATGACCAAAAGCTATAGGTCTCCAGACAGGGACGTCTCTGGTAGGCCTCTAGGGAGGCCCATATGGGTACCACTGGGGCTCCTCTTGTAGGACCCCTGGGAAGGCCCTTGAGGTACCGCCACACCTTGGAGAACCACTGCTTTGGAAGATCCCTTGGGGCACCGCTGACCCTGAGGAGGCCCTGGGGCATCGGTTCCCCAGGAAGAGCCCCTGGGGGAGATTACCCTTTGCGAGCCCCTGGGGCGGATGTTACCCTGCAGCCATGAGCCACCACATCTGAGAGGTCCCTCAGGGGCACCCAGGGCCCTGGGAGAGCCCCTCTGGGCACCACTGCAACTGGTAAAGCCCTGGGTGCGCCACCTTCTGGAAGGGCCCGGTGGGATCACCCCAGCAGGGTCCATGGGGGCACACCTGCTCTGGTAGGGCCTCTGGGGGCGCCAACATCCCAGAGATGTCCGTTGGAGGGCTGCTGCCCCAGGAGGGCTTCTGTGGGCACCACTGCCTCTGTAAGGCCCCTGGTAGCTCTACAGCCTATGTCAGGTCCCCTGAGGCCTCCGGCTGCCGAGATTAGCACCTGGAAGCGCCGCCTTCTCAGAGGTCGCCTGAGCGCCACTGCCCACTTGAGGCCTCTGGAGGCGCCATCACTGGCAGGGCCCCTGAGGGAGCGACCGCCTCTGGCAGAGCCCCTGGGGCGCCATAACCCTGGCAGGGCTCTAGGGCGCCCCTCCTGGTAGGGCTCCTGGGAGCGCCTAACACCCCTGGGAGAGCCGCTGGGGCGTTGCACCTGGTAGGACAAATGCAAGGGCCCCAGGGCACTGTCACTGTAGGACCCTGGGGACAGTTGTTTTTACATTTAGAACAAAGGGAGATATGAATAGATACTTTATCGCATTTCTAGTATCACCACACCATCAACAATAGAAATTTCCAACAGGAAAACATAAGTTGGGGTGTTGTGCTCACTGACTGCCCTGTTCTCCTATTGGCTGTTATTTGGATTTACATTTTAGTCCACCAATCACAGTTAAGCAAGGGATTGCTGGACGTATGCTGTAGTTACGACACCACGACCCAAAGCTATAGGTCTTTTGGCAGGGGGCTCCTCTTGTAGGACCCCTGGGAAGGCCCTTGAGGGTACCGGCACCTTGGAGAACCACTGCTTCTGGAAGATCCCTTGGGGGCACCGCTGACCCTGAGGAGGGCCCCTGGGGGCATCGGTTCCCCTAGGAAGAGCCCCTTGGGGGAACATTACCCCTTTGCGAGCCCCTGGGCGCGATGTTACCCCTTGGCAGGCCCCTGCGGGAGCCACCACATCTGAGAGGTCCCCTAGGGGCACCTGTGGCCCTGGGAGAGCCCCTCTGGGCACCACTGCAACTGGTAAAGCCCCTGGGTGCGCCACCTCTCTTGGAAGGGCGCCGGTGGGCGCGATCACCCCTAGCAGGGTCCATGGGGGCACACCCGCTCTTGGTAGGGCCTCTGGGGGCGCCAACATCCCAGAGATGTCCCGTTGGAGGGCTGCTGCCCCTGGGAGGGCTTCTGTGGGCACCACTGCCTCTGTAAGGGCCCCTGGTAGCTCTACAGCCTATGTCAGGTCCCCTGAGGCCTCCGCCGTTCGTGAGATTGCCACCTGGAAGCGCCGTTACCTCTCAGAGGTCGCCTGAGAGCGCCACTGCCCACTTGGAGGGCCTCTGGAGGCGCCACTTCCCCTGGCAGGGCCCCTGAGGGAGCGACCGCCTCTGGTAGAGCCCCTGGGGGCGCCATAACCCCTGGCAGGGGCTCTAGGGGCGCCCCCTCCCTTGGTAGGGCTCCTGGGGGCGCCAACATCCCTGGGAGAACCGCTGGGGGCGTTGCACCTGGTAGGACAAATGCAAGGGCCCCAGGGGGCACTGTCACTGTAGGGACCCTGGGGACAGTTGTTTTTGCACATTTAGAACAAAGGGAGATATGAATAGATACTTTGCCCATCGCATTTCTAGTATCACCACACCATCAACAATAGAAATTTCCAACAGGAAAACATAAGTTGGGGTGTTGTGCTCACTGACTGCCCTGTTCTCCTATTGGCTGTTATTTGGATTAACATTTTCGACCACCAATCACAGTTAAGCAAGGGATTGCTGGACGTATGCAATAGGTACGACACCACGACCCAAAGATATAGGTCTGGCTCCTCTTGTAGGACCCCTGGGAAGGCCCCTGAGGGTACCGCCGCCCCTTGGGGAGCCACTGCTTCTGGAAGATCCCTTAGGGGCACCGCTGACCCTGAGGAGGGCCCCTGGGGGCATCGCTTCCCCTAGGAAGAGCCTCTTGGGGGAACATTACCCCTTTGCGAGCCCCTGGGGGTGATGTTACCCCTTGGCAGGCCCCTGCGGGAGCCACCACATCTGAGAGGTCCCCTAGGGGCACCTGTGGCCCTGGCAGAGCCCCTCTGGGCACCATTGCAACTGGTAAAGCCCCTGGGTGCGCCACCTCTCTTGGAAGGGCCCCGGTGGGCGCCACCATCCCTAGCAGGGTCCCTGGGGGCACACCCGCTCTTGGTAGGGTCCCTGGGGGCGCCAACATCCCAGAGATGTCCCGTTGGAGGGTTGCTGCACCTGGGAGGGCTTCTGTGGCGCACCACTGCCTCTGTAAGGGCCCCTGGTAGCTCCACAGCCCATGTCAGGACCCTGAGGCCTCCGCCGTTCGTGAGATTGCCACCTGGAAGCGCCGTTACCTCTCAGAGGTCGCCTGGGAGCGCCGCTGCCCCTTGCCGGGCCCCTGGGAGCGCCACCGGCTCTGGAAGGGCCCCGGTGGGCGCCATCACCCTTAGCAGGGTCCCTGGGGCCGCATCCGGCCTTGGTAGGGCCCCTGGGGGCGCCAACACCACAGAGATGTCCCGTTGGAGGGTTTCTGCACCTGGGAGGGCTTCTGTGGCGCACCACTGCCTCTGTAAGGGCGCCTGGTAGCTTCACAGCCCATGTCAGGTCCCCTGAGGCCTCCGCCGTTCGTGAGATTGCCACCTGGAAGCGCCGTTACCTCTCAGAGGTCGCCTGGGAGCGCCGCTGCCCACTTGGAGGGCCTCTGGGGGCGCCACTTCCCCTGGCAGGGCCCCTGAGGGAGCGACCGTCTCTGACAGAGCCCCTGGGGGCGCCATAACCCCTGGCAGGGGCCCAAGGGGCGTCTCCTCCCTTGATAGGGCTCCTGGGGGCGCCAACACCCCTGGGGCAGCCCCTAGGGGCGTTGCACCTGGTAGGACAAATGCAAGGGCCCCAGGGGGCACTGTCACTGTAGGGACCCTCAGGACAGTTGTTTTTGCACATTTAGAACAAAGGGAGATATGAATAAATACTTTGCCCATCGCATTTGTAGTATCACCACACCATGAACAATACAAATATCCAACAGGAAAACATAAGTTGGGGTGTTGTGCTGACTGACTGCCCTGTTCTCCTATTGGCTGTTATTTGGATTTACATTTTTGTCCACCAATCACAGTTAAGCAAGGAATTACTGGACATATGCAATAGTTACGACACCACGAGCCAAAGCTATAGGTCTCATGGTAGTGGGCTCCTCTTGTAGGACCCCTGGGAAGGCCCCTGAGGGTATCGCCGCACCTTGGGGAGCCACTGCTTCTGGAAGATCCCTTGGGGGCACCGCTGACCCTGAGAAGGGCCCCTGGCGGCATCACTTTCCCTAGAAAGACCCCCTAGGGGCAACATTACCCCTTGGCGTGCCCCTGGGGGCGACGTTACCCGTTGGCAGGCCTCTGGTTGAGCCACCACACCTAATAGGTCTTCTGGGGGCACCTGTGGCCCTGGGAGAGCCCCTGTGGGCGCCACCACAACTGGTAAAGCCCCTGGGTGCGTCACCGCTCTTGGCAGGGCCTCTGGGTGCGCCACCACCCTTCGTAGGGCCCCTGGTGGCATCGACACCCCTCGGAGAGCCCCTAAGGGCGACGTACTTTGTATGGCAAATGGGAGGGCCCCAGAGCACACTATCACTGGATTGACCCTGGGGACAGTTGTTTTTGCACATTTAGAACAATGGGGGATATGAATAAAAACACAGCCCATCGCATTTCCAGTATCATCACACCATCAACAATGTAAATGAGAATAAATATCCAATAGCAAAACACAAGTTGGGGTGTTGTGCTGACTGACTACCCTGTTTTCCTATTGGCTGTTACTTGGATTTACATTTTAGTTCACCAATCACAGTTAAGTAAGGGATTGCTGGACATATGCAATATGTACGACACTACGACCAAAAGCTATAGGTCTCCAGGCGGGGGACGTCTCTGGTAGGGCCTCTAGGAGGGCCCATAAGGGTACCACTGCCCCTTGGGGCGCCACCGCCTCTGGCAGGTCCCCTGGGAGCACCTTTACCATGAAGAGAGTCCTTGGCAGAGCTGTTGCCCCTAAGGAATGGCCCTGGGGGCGTTTTTTTCCCTTGGTGTGCCCCTGTGGTCGCTACCACCCCTGCGAGTTCCTCTGGGAGCCCCGCTTCCACAGAGGGCTCCTTGGGGACTCCCCCGCCCCTGGAAGGGCCACCTTTGGGCGCCGTTGTCAATGGGAGGCCCCCGTAGGAGCGCCGCTGCCACTGGCAGGGCCCCTGGGGGCGCCACCGCCTCTGGAAGGGCCCCGATGGCCGCCATCACCCCTCGCAGGGTCCCTGGGGGCACACCCGCCCTAGGTAGGGCCCCTGGGGACGCCAACATCCCAGAGATGTCCCGTTGCAGGGCTGCTGCCCCTGGGAGGGCTTCTGTGGGAACCACTGCCTCTGTAAGGGCCCCTGGTAGCTCTACAGCATATGTCAGGTCCCCTGAGGCCTCCGCCGTTCGTGAGATTGCCACCTGGAAGCGCCGTTACCTCTCAGAGATCGTTTGGGAGCGCCGCTGCCCACTTGGAGGGCCTCTGGAGGCGCCATTTCCCTTGGCAGGGCCCCTGAGGGAGCGACCGCCTCTGCCAGAGGCCCTGGTGGCGCCATAACCTCTGGCAGGGGCCGTAGGGCCGCCCGCCCCCTCCTTTGGTAGGGCTTCAGGGGGCGCCAACACCCCTGGGAGAGCCCCTGGGAGCGTTGCACCTGGTAGGACAAATGCAAGGGCCCCAGGAGACACTGTCACTGTAGGGACCCTGGGGACAGTTGTTTTTGCACATTTAGAACAAAGGGAGATATGAATAAATACTTTGCCCATCGCATTTCTAGCATCATCACACCATGAACAATACAAATATCCAACAGGAAAACATATGCTGGGGTGTTGTGCTGGCTGACTGCCCTCTTCCCCTATTGGCTGTTATTTGGATTTACATTTTATTCCACCAATCACAGTTAAGCAAAGGATTGGTGAATGTATGCAAAATCTATTGGTCTCTTGGCAGGGGGCTCCTCTGGTAGGACCCCTCTAAAGGTCGCTGAGGGTACCGCCGCCTCTTGGGAGCCACTGCTTCTGGAAGATCCCTTAGGGGCACCACTGACCCTGAGGGTCGCCCCTGGGGGCATTGCTTCCCCTAGGAAGAGCCCCTTGGGGCAACATTACCCCTTTGCTGTCCCCTGGGGGCGACGTTACCCCTTGGCAGGCCCCTGGGGGATCCACCACACCTGAGAGGTCCCCTGGGGGGCACCTGTGACCCTGGGAGAGCCCCTGTGGGCGCCACCGCAACTGGTAAAGCCCCTGGGTGCACCACCGCTCATGGCAAGGCCCCTGGAGGCACCGACACCCCTCGGAGAGCCCCGAAGGGCGATGCACGTGGTATGGCCCTACCAGAGGCGTCCCCTGCCTGGATACCTATAGCTTTTGGCCGTAGTGTTGTACATATTGCATATGTCCAGCAATCCCTTACTTAACTGTGATTGGTGGACTAAAATGTAAATCCAAATAACAGCCAAAAGGAGAACAGGGCAGTCAGTCAGCACAACACCCCAACTTATGTTTTCCTGTTGGATATTTGTATTGTTCATGGTGTGATGATACTAGAAATGCGATGGGCAAAGTATTTATTCATATCTCCCTTTGTTCAAAATGTGCAAAAACAACTGTCCCCAGGGTCCCTACAGTGACAGTGTCTCCTGGAGCCCTTGCATTTGTCCTACCAGGTGCAACGCCCCCAGGGGCTCTCCCAGGGGTGTTGGAGCCCCCAGGAGCCCTACCAAGGGAGGGGGCGCCCCCAGGGGCCCGGCCAGGGGCAGCGGCGCTCCTGCCGGGGCCTCCCATGGGCAACGGCGTCCAAAGGTGGCCCTTCCAGAGGCGGGGGAGTCCCCAGGGGGCCTTCTGGGGAAGTGGGGCTCCTAGGGGATCTTGCAGGGGTGGCAGCGACCCCAGGGGCTCGCCAAGGGAAAAAGGCGCCCCCAGGGCCATTCCTTAGGGGCAACAGCTCCGCCAAAGACTCTCTTCATGGTCAACGGTGCTCCCAGGGGATCTTCCAGAGGCGGTGGCGCCCCAAGGGGCAGTGGTACCCTTATGGGCCTTCCTAGAGGCCCTACCAGAGGCGTCCCCTGCCTGGAGACCTATAGCTTTTGGTCGTAGTGTCGTACATATTGCATACGTCCAGCAATCCCTTACTTAACTGTGATTGGTGGACTAAAATGTAAATCCAAGTAACAGCCAATAGGAGAACAGGGCAGTCAGCCAGCAAAACACCCCAACTTATGTTTTCCTGTTGGATATTTATTCTCCTTTACATTGTCGATGGTGTGATGATACTGGAAATGCGTTGGGCGGTGTTTCTATTCATATCTCCCATTGTTCTAAATGTGCAAAAACAACAGCCCCCAAGGTCAATCCAGTGATAGTGCGCTCTGGGGCCCTCCCATTTGCCATACCAGGTGCGTCGCTCTTAGAGGCTCTTCGAGGGGTGTCGGTGCCCCCAGGGGCCCTGCCATGGGTGGCGGCACACCCAGGTGCCCTGAAAAGAGCGGTGGCGCCCCCAGGGGCTCTGCCAGAGGCGGTCGCTCCCTCAGGGGCCCTGCCAGGGGAAGTGGCGCCCCCAGAGGCCCTCCAAGTGGGCAGCGGTGCTCCCAGGCGACCTCTGAGAGGTAACGGCGCTTCCAGGAGGCAATCTCACGAACGGCGGAGGCCTCAGGGAACTTGACATAGGCTGTAGAGCTACCAGGGGCCCTTACAGAGGCAGTGGTGCCCACAAAAGCCCTCCCAGGGGCAGCAGCCCTCCAACGGGACATCTCTGGGATGTTGGCGCCCCCAGGGGCCCTACCAAGGGCGGGTGTGCCCCTAGGGACCCTGCTAAGGGTGATGGCGCCCACCGGGGCCCTGCCAAGAGCGGTGGCGCACCCAGGGGCTTTACCAGTTGCGGTGGCGCCCACAGGGACTCTCCCAGGGCCACAGGTGCCCCCAGGGGACCTCTCAGATGTGGTGGCTTCCGCAGTGGCCTGCCAAGGGGTAACGTCGCCCCCAGGGGACCGCAAAGGGGTAATGTTGCCCCAAGGGGCTCTTCCTAGGGGAAGCAATGCCCCCAGGGGCCCTCCTCAAGGTCAGCGGTGCCCCCAAGGGATCTTCCAGAAGCAGTGACTCCCCAAGGGGCGGCGGTACCCTCAGGGGCCTTCCCAGGGGTCCTACAAGAGGAGCCCCCTGCCAATAGACCTATAGCTTTGGGTCGTGGTGTCGTACCTATAGCATACGTCCAGCAATCCCTTGCTTAACTGTGATTGGTGGACTGAAATGTAAATCCAAATAACAGCCAATAGGAGAACAGGGCAGTCAGTGAGCACAACACCCCAACTTATGTTTTCCTGTTGGATATTTGTATTGTTCATGGTGTGATGATACTAGAAATGCGATGGCCGGTGTTTTTATTCATATCTATCATTGTTCTAAATGTGCAAAAACAACTGTCCCCAGGGTCCCTACAGGTAGGCGTGACTTAATAGTTGACCTCGGTCATATGTAAGGCGGCGCTGGTTGACCTAGACCACGAGGCATACACTGGGGAATTCGCGTGGTCGGCTACTCAGCGACAAGCGTTTGAAGGGGAGGAATCCACTACTCAGAAATTTTTCAAAATTTTTTCAAAATTTTCTGAAATTTTTCGAAAATTTTTCAGAAATTTTCCAAAATTTTCAAAATTATCAGAAATTTTTCAAAAATTTTCCAAAAATATTGTGAAATTTGCGAAAATTTTTCAGAAAGTTCCCAAATTTTCAGAAAATTTCCAAAATTTCCCAGAAATTTTCATAAAATTTCCAAAAAATTTACAAAAGTTTCCAAAATTTCACATAATTTTCCAAAATTTCACAAAATTTTCCCAAAATTTTCAGAAATTTCCAAAAATTTCAGAAATTTTCAGAAATTTTCAGAAATTTTCAAAATTTTCAAAATTTTCTAAAAATTTTACAAAATTTTCAGAAATTTTCCAAAAATTTTCGAAAATTCAATTTCCAAAATTTTACGAAAATTTTCAAAATTTTCTCATAAATTTTCAGAAAATTTCCCAAAATTTTCCCAATTTTCAAATTTTCCCAGAAATTTTCAAAATTTCAAAAATTTCGGAAATTTTCAAAAAATTTCAAAATTTTCAAAAATTCCCAAATTTTCAAAATTTCAAAATTTCTAAATTTTTCCAAAATTTTCAAAAATTTTCAAAAATTTTCCCAAATTTTCCCAAATTTTCAAAATTTTCCAAAAATTTTCAACATTTTCCAAAATTTTCAAAATTTTCCAAAATTTTCCCAAATTTTCCGAAATTTTCCAAATTTTCCGAAAATTTTCCAAAATTTTCAGAAAATTCCCAAAAATTTTTCAGAAATTTTCCAAAAATTTTCAAAATTTTGGAAAATTGGGAAATTCTTGAAAAATCTCAGGAAATTTTGGAAAATCTGGAAATTTCTGAAAAAATCTAAGGGAATTTTGGAAAATCTAGGGAATTTTTGGAAATCTGGGAAATTCAAAATTTTCAAAAAATTCAAATTTTCCAAAAATTTAAAAATTTCCCCAGATTTTCAAAAATTTCCCTAGATTTTCAAAAATTTCCCTAGATTTTCAGAAATTTCCCCAGATTTTCAAAATTCCCTAGATTTTCAGAAATTTCCTAGATTTTCGCAAATTTTTCCGAAAAATTTTTCAAACATTTTCCCATCTTTTCGAAATTTTTCAAAATTTTCAGAAATTTTCCCAAATTTTCGAATTTCTCCAAAATTTTCGAAAATTTTCAAAATTTTCCAAAATTTTCGAAATTTTCCGAAATTTTCCAAAATTTTCCAAAAATTTTCAAAATTTCTCCCAAATTTTCGAAATTTTCAAAATTTTCAAAAATTTTCCAAAATTTTCCGAAATTTGTCCAAAATTTTCAAAAATTTTCCCAAATTTTCCGAAAAATTTTCAAATTTTTCAGAAAAATTTCCCAAAATTTTCAGAAAAATTTCCAAATTTTCGAAATTTTTCCAAAATTTTCAAAATTTTCAAAAAATTTTCAACCGAAATTTTTCAAAATTTTCAAAATTTTCCCCAAATTTTCCGAAATTTTCAAAATTTTCAAAAAATTTCCAAATTTTCCGAAAAAATTTTCCCAAATTTTCGAAAAATTTTCCCAAATTTTCGAAAATTTTCGAAATTTTTCAGAAAATTTTCCAAATTTTTCAGAAAATTCCCAAAATTTCCCAAATTTTCAAAATTTCCCCAAATTTTCAATTTTCCCAAATTTTCAATTTTCGAAAAATTTTCAGAAAATTTTCAAATTTTCAGAAAATTCCCAAAAATTTCCCAAATTTTCCGAAATTTTCCAAAATTTTCCAAAAATTTTCCCAAATTTTCCGAAATTTTTCCAAAATTTTCCAAAATTTTCAAAAATTTTCCCAAATTTTCGAAATTTTTCCAAATTTTCCGAAATTTTTCAAAAATTGTCAAAAAATAGTCCAAAAATTTTCCAAGTTCAGAAATTTTCAAAATTTTCAAAAATTTTCCCAAATTTTCCCAAATTTGTCCAAAATTTTCAAAAATTTTCCAAATTTTCGAAAAATTTTCCCAAATTTTCCGAAAATTTTTCCCAAATTTTCCGAAAATTTTCGAAAATTTTCAAAAATTTTCCCAAATTTTCCGAAATTGTCCAAAATTTTCGAAATTTTTTCCAAATTTTCAAAATTTTCCCAACTTTTCGAAAAATTTTCCCAAATTTTCCAAAATTTTCGAAAATTTTCAAAAAATTCGAAATTTTCCAAATTTTAAAATTTTTAAAATTTTCCCAAATTTTCGAAATTTTTCAAAACTTTCCAAAAATTTTCCCAAATTTTCAGAAATTTTCCAATATTTTCGAAATTTTCCAAAATTTTCAAAAATTTTCCCCAAATTTTTCGAAATTTTCAAAATTTTCAGAAAATTTTCCAAATTTTTCAGAAAATTCCCAAAATTTCGAAATTTTTCAAAATATTCCAAAAATTTTCAAAAATTTTCCCAAATTTTCGAAATTTTTCCCAAATTTTGGAAAATTTTCGAAATTTTCAAAATTTCAAAATTTTCCAAATTTTCAAAATTCCCCTAGATTTTTCAGAAATTTCCCTAGATTTTCGCAAATTTTTGAAAATTTTTTCCAAAATTTTTAAATTTTTCAAAAATTTTTCCAAATTTTTCGAAAATTTTTCCAAATTTTCAGAAAATTTTCAAAAATTTCCCAAATTTTCCAAATTTTTCAATTTTCCAAAATTCAGAAATTTTTCCAATTTTAAAAATTTTGGAAATTTTTGAAAATCTCTGAGAAATTTTGAAATCTCAGGAAATTTCTGAAAAATCTAGAAATTTGGAAATCTAAATTCTGGAAAATCTGAAATTTTCAAAAATTTTCCAAAAATTTCAACAATTTTCCAAAATTTAATTCCCCAGATTTTCCAAATTTTCCTGATTTTCCAAAATTTTCTAGATTTTTCAAAATTTCTGATTTTCCAAAATTCCCTAGTTTTCAGAAATTTCTAGATTCCACAATTTTCAGAAAATTTTAAAAATTTTCCCAAATTTTCCAAAATTTCCAAAATTTTCCCAAATTTTCCGAAAATTTTCCAAATTTCCTAGAAAATTCCCAAAATTTTCGGAAATTTTCTCAAAATTTTCAGAAATTTTCAGAAGATTTTCACAAATTTCAAAAAATTTTCCAAAGTTCAAAATTTTCAAAAAATTTTCACAAATTTCCGAAATTTTCCCAAATTTTCAAAATTTTCCAAAAATTTTCCAGAATTTACCGAAAATTTTTCCAAATTTTTCAGAAAATTTTCAGAAAATTTCAATCTCAAATTTTCAAAAATTTTCAAAATTTCAAAAATTTTCAAATTTTTCCAAAAATTTCCAACAATTTTGGAATATCTGAAATTTTTCTGAAATTTCTGAAAATTTTGAAAGTTTCAAATTACAATTTTCTGAAAATTTTTG